TTTTGAGATAGGATTTGCAGGTGTCAGTGAAAATGACAGGACTGGTGATATAGTACCACTTGGAAAGACCCAGCCAGTTTCTGGAGCTGCCCCTTTATTCCTGCTGGCACTGACTCCTCTTCTAGCTATTCTAGGTAGATCACTACTAGAGCCAAGGGGTTCAAGTCCTGCAATACCTCCTTGAATGTATAGACCAGCTTTTATGCTATAACATACTGTGAAGAGTGTGGTGTTATTCACAGAAATGACTGAACCTTAACCATGAGGGCTTCCTTCTGACTCATGGGATAGTGTTGAGTGTGATGTTAGAGAGAAATTATGTACAAAGCATTAGCTAGGACTTTCAAAGATGTTTCTGGAAGATGCTTTATTTTTTATTCAGGGACAGACATCACCTACCAGGTGTATTTCTTTGAGCGTCTTTTCTTCATGTGGTGTCAGATTCAGTGAACTGTGGGATGTTACATGTGGCTTTTAACTTCCAAAACAAACTTGGATATTGTCCTAGTCCCAGGCACTCCTGAAAGAGGGTTTTGGGCCAAGAATCTGCTAAGCAAAACAACATCAAGGATAGAAAGAGTTAAATGTCTGAAGAAAATTGAAAACAGATGAACATTTGAATGTTTTTCCTACTTAAGTCAGCAGGAAGGGGGAAAATTGCGGTCACCATAAAGAGACTAACAAACAGAAGCACAGAGGAAATTACTGCAGCCAAGAAATGAGCAGAGGAAAGGCAGTTTACCCACTGGTTTTGGTGGAAGCCACAGAACTGCTTAGAAAAGGAACATAAGAGTGCTGCAAGAGCCAGAAATTGCAGGCTAAGGCCCAGATCCAGCAGGAGCTGGAAGAGGCACAGGCTCACAGCCACAGGCCTACCTACAGGAAATTCTCAGATCCAGGTCTTGGATCTCACCCATACATCTGTGTGCTGTTTTGCTGCCCTGGCCTTCACTCCAACTGCTTCTTCCTACTGCTTCTCTTCAATGACCACTGAAAGCCCAGTGGGAAACAGGAAATCTGCTGACTGGGGTCTACTGACACAAGCTTTAGGGCTGTATTTTTTCGTATTAGAATATCAAGGGCAGTGGGTCTATTTCCTGTATGGCTCCATTTTGTACAAGCCTATTTGTCCTTTAAAATACACAATGTAAGATTTGTAGGGGGTTTCTATGTCATCTCAGTTTGTTTTATCTCCCTGTACTTTCCCTGGTAAAAACTGGCTACTTCCTTTTGCTCAGCCTTTAATATGTCCCTTATACAGAGACTAAGATGGGAAAATGTGAACTAGAAAGTAGAAATTTTAAAGTCTGCTCAGTGCAAAATGAAGTCAGAATGCAAAATTGCACAGGCATCTTGGAACAGTGACTCTTATTTGTTACAGTTCTTCCTTTTTTTTTTTTTAAATACACAACTCATGACCTAACTATGCCATAATGAGAAACAGATATTAGAGAGCTTTTGAATTAATTACTGTAATATGGGTAACAGTTTAGATAATCCCACTCAGTCAAAAAGCAAACAAAAGAAAAACACAGGTTAACTTCTAGTTGCCTTAAAAAGCTATGATTGCAAACTGTTCAGTGCAAAGTGTTAGCAAAGCTGTTGAAACAAATTTAAATACAACTACTTTAAGAACACCAACAACACAAACTGACTGTCTCAGTCAATACCAGTCATTCATGAAGAAGTCCAAGCACATAAGGCACAGAAAAACCTGTCTCCTTCATCTTCAATAATTTCATTGTTTTTAGGGAAACCCCTGACCCTGTATAAGAGTTTTCTAATGGTTAACCCTTATCAAAAATATTGAGATGATAGTGGGGAATGATTTTATTTCTCCATTTTAAATATACAATTCAATTCTTTATCACCTGTGAGATATTTCCAGCATGTTTAGTATTATATTTGTTCAGGCCAAATAAATATAAAAGACTAATAGATCCATCTGAAATTTGATTCTTCTGGTATCTGGAAAGAAGATGAAAATATTTAGTCTTCTTTTACACTGGATCTCTGTTTGTTGGTTAGGGTTGGAGGATGTTTATTTGTCTTTAGGGGGATGTTTTGTTTTGTTTTTTTGTAGGTCTCTAGATTTTAAGGTAGTTTAGATTTGATGACTTTGCTAGTCAGGTCTCCCTCCTAACTGCAAGTGGAATAATCTATTCTCACTTCCAGCTATGTACTTAGGCTTCACCATCACATATAGAAGGAAAATAGGAGACACCAGGTATTAAATATATCCTCATTCTTCATTCTTAGAGATATTCGAAAGAAATCTGGACATGATCCTGAATAGGACAATATAACTTGAGTATTCACACAGGAATTACTGCGCCCACCATTCTTATACGTTACATGCAGCTGTGCAGCTGTACCACAGCAGCAAAGTTTGGCAGGGTAAAGTCACTGGATGTTCAGCCATGAAGTATGACCCTGAAATCGTAGCTGGAAACCAAGGTGCAGACTGACAAAAGGAATGCAGAGCATCTCTTGTGATCACCCTGACCTTATTTTTCCCTAAACTACTTTTTTCTTCCTCTACAGTCATGTCCCTTTTAGAACCAGGGCAGTACACCTGGTTCTAGTTCATTCAGTTTCATCCTAGCTTTCCTCTGTGTAACTGCACTAAAATTCAACAGCATTACACCAGGGTGAAGTCACTTTTTTTAATGTTAGGTTCTAAGCTACCTCTTTATTCATGCTGTTAGGTCTTGATCTGTTAGAGAGCAGTTAACAGATTACAACATAACTGCATAAATTAAAAATGTCATTTATCAACAGTTTCCTGTTTTGTTGTTTTTGTTTTTAAATAGCAAATCAACTAAATCCCCGGAATTACAGTCAACTGCGAAAAAATTGCAACCATTACTGAACCAGCTAAAAGCAGTTCAACAGCTGCATCTTATAAAATGTTACCAAGTCCAGAGCTCTACAAATAACACAGGCTCATAAAACTAGCTACAATTACAATGTGGCTTATAGAGCATGGATAAATACAGAAGAAATTATAAAGATCTTCAATTTATAAGGTAGTTTAAAAGCTACTTGTAGGATGTAGTGCATAACAAAAGAATGTACAATCAAAATACTCTGGGTAAGATATTTCTATCATTTGATTTATTTTATATGCAAGCTTTAAATCTATTCTTTTATATTGTTTTCTTCATTTCTTATATAATAACTGATCAAGATATTTGGTCTGATTTTGAGATATACATCCAGTTCTCCATGAGAAGATTCTGCATAACTTACTATGTAAAAGCTTTTCAAGCTGTAATTGATTTATTTTAGAAAACAGTCAGTCTGAATGTGACTTAGTTTTAGTTTTACCAAATCACATCTCTCATTCACAACTAGAGATAAAAGCTTGGTTTTACAGAATAATAGGTAAATGGGCCTCAATTTTTCTAAATCCTTGGTATTCTTTGTTGTAACTGCTGAACAGCTGCTCAGATTGCTGAATCTGCATTTCAGAGAGCACATCAGACTCAAATCACATAGAATAATCTGTTAGCTCAAATTACTTGCTCTACGAATCTGTTTCTATACAGTTTATTTTTCACTGTTTAACTTTGCCCTTTGCCATTTCAAATTCTTTTTAGCAATGAAACTTGTATTATTTAGCCTAGGAAACCAAAACGTAACTTGACAGGTATCAACACTATTAGAAAATTAATCTGACTTAACATAGATAAACATAAGTTTAAAAAGTGGGTCAAAGAAAGATCTACCTCTGCACAATTCCTCTTAATACCCTTTGCTGAGTGATGTAGATGGTTAAAAAGGTTTCTAGTGCCTATGGATGTAATGAAAAGATGTTACTGCCAGAAAAACCTTATGCATCTAAAATTATATAAGTAAGCAGTTATGACTGGTAAATATTCATCTACATTTCTATTTATTCCTTCAAAATAAAGTACTCTATGTTGGTGCCTATTTCAAACTATATGCAAAGACCATCACTTAACTGGTATCAAATTGTTTCTTGGCTTCTACCAGGAGTGTGCTGTACATTTCCATTCTGCCTGCTGGGCTTTACTATCTTGAAATCACCCCTGTGTGAATGTTCTTTGGCGAACCAGTTCTCTTTCTCCTTTAATTTGTACCCAAGAAATCCTGGTGGGGTTTTTTTTCTCATGTTAGAACAACTTCACAATCTGGTCTTCCATTCAAAGTTGGGCATAAGAGACTGGCTTGGCAGCCTGGCACAGAAGCTTTCCTTGTACACTCTCTCTCCCCTATACACACATTTAAAAGGATCTATTGATCCATTCACTGGAAGGATGAGAAATATGGAGTGCTGGGAAGACAGATAAAAAGATATATAAAACATTATTTACTTCTAAAATTTGGTGGACATCCTGTATTTGCAGAATAATTTGTTGTTACAAGGCTCAAGATGTACACTTGTATATGAATTGTGCCTTTTTAGAAATTACCTGGGTAGATAGATGAATTATGTAGCTCACTACATAAACCCTAAACTGAGGGCATACTCCTAAGGGCCCTATGTTTGTTGAAGCTCTTTTAACTAAGTGTATTTGCTAAAAAATGAGAGGGGGAACAGGCATTCCTGTTGTAAATTCAAGCCATGCACGTTTTTCTGAGAATCTAACAAAATCTCTGTAGTATAATCCAGTGATTTCAGTTCATTTTTTTGGCTGCTTTGCCAACCTAATGGAGACAGCTCTGGTCTGAGCTGAGGAAAAAATGAGAGAGCCTTCAAACTCCCCTGAGAACCTCTATTCCACCTCTGGCCTGCTTCCAGTACAGCAGTAATTGTACAATTATAGCAGCATTATATATAGAAAATTAACATGAATTCTTAAGTTGTTCAACAATAGTTAGGCATAATTATTTACACTGTAGTCACAGAATTTCTGAGAGGAAAAAAAACCTCTAGGCTTTTAGGGAAGGAAAATTGTAGCAATTACTGGCCTAGTAGTTCGTTGATATATTTGAAAGAAAGAGATTTTTTTTTTAACTACTTTTACCTGCAACACGAGCTCTAATGCTGCAATCAGACTGCACGTGCTCACTTCAGGAAGCAGAGGGAGCTGTCTGATGGCAATTACAGCTCTTACAGCCAGAGAGCCAGGTCACAATTAGCAGTCTGGGACTTCACATCATAGCTTGCATAAAGACAGGCCTTGTATGCTCGGGAAGACAAAAGAAGACCCCTCACATTATACTGTAAGATAAAGCTGGTATTTAATTTGTACCTACAGAATAATTACATTTGCTATGACTGAGTAAAAACTAACAACTACACACTGATATAGGGTATTTACTGCAGGGAAACTAAACTTGATTCTTTTGTAGTGGGAAAATCCTCCACACCTCTTCTTGTGAAGTTGTAGGCTAATAGAAGAGCCATGATGATCAAAACAGGATGAAGAAATATAGTACCCCTGAAACATAACTGAGTCAGGTACAAGTAATAGACTTTTAAAGTGCAACCAAGATATGTGAACACAGTGAGTTATCAGCACACCTACTGGCAAATTAAAACAATGACTTATTAAGAGTCCTGGTTATAATGTATTAGTAAAAGTAATTTTTTTCATAGATAGGAAATCCTGCTGTAATCAGAACAACTGTGGTTCTTTGGTTCAGCACTGTTAAACCCAGCATATGGAGATGTCATCCTGCTGCCCAGTGAAGCTGTACTCCTCGAGATAATCAAGAGCTGTGCTAGCATGTTTAGTGATGGCCATTGCTGTGCGCCTGGCAGGAGAGTGAATCACCTGGAAGAGTCAGTCAATAAGGGACTCCTCTTCAGAGGCTGCTCACAGCCAGAAAATACAACAAGGAACCAGAAAAAGCCTCACACTAATGGAAATAAAGAGTTTATCTAGTGGTAAGGCTGGATGTATACCCACAAGAACAAATGTCAGTCTTACCCTGCGGGCAGCCTTCCCAAAAATAAAGGAAGAAGCTTAATTGAGATTAATGGCCTTTTTTGCTGAGGCCTGTGGGAAGTCCTAATAAGGCAATGTGTTAAACAGTGAATGTAATTTATAATACATGCAAACTTTAGAAGATATAAATAACATATGACACTGAATGAGAAATGTCTTATGCCTTTCTCATGTTGTTTTTAGAGACACTTTCACCTGTTGGATTTAAAGTAGGATTCAAGTTTCTATTTTTTGGAAGGCCAGCATGCCTGCTTTATGCACCAGCACAGTTGAAACTCTTAATGATGTCACAGTGAGCAGACATGGCTTCCAACCAGCTTACACTGTGGTCACAGATGATAGACTTCCATAATCTAAGCTAAAGTAATTGTACTTACATTAGTGTTGATTTTGCCTGTAGTGACATTTTTTCTAGGTTTTCTTGAATGTTAAACCTAGTTTTTCTCAATTTCCTATCACCTTACATCTTTGTGCTCCATCAGTCGTGACACAACACCTTTCCACAAAAACAAGGCCGAAAATTTTTACACAGTAATTCCTGCATCAAGCCAACTATTCTTAGATGAACCAGACTGGTATCCTGTAAAAAAGTATGTAATTTGAGAATTTCATATGATAGAGGTTTAATAATTTGTATAAACATCCAACACACACACATACATTCAAGGGTAAGGGAAAATAATTTACTATTTCCTTCACTATATGTTTGTTTAATATTATACTTCAACTGTCCTGAAAAGTCCTACACAAAACAGTCATCATCGTGCAAAACTTAATTTTTTCCGATACACACTGAGTATGTAAGGCATGTACATGTTCTTTTCATTTATACCAAGACACATAAATGCACTCACAAATACACATCTCAAGTATACAATCTGAAATAATTACATTCAGATGCTGAACAGAGTACTTATACATAGCAGAAATAACTCAAGGTCTTTAATACTTTGTCTTCAGCTTTTTTCTGTTATCATCATTATGAAACAATGTTCCTTTTTTCCTCAGTAGATAGATCTATTAAAGCAGAGAAACAGAACTTTATTTTTACCAGGTCTGCTTATAATCTTCATCTTGCATCTTACCTTTTCTTCCAACTAAAATTTTAATTTTGCTTTGTCCAAAAGTCTGATTCTTTCAACTGCTCTAATGAAACACAAATCCCTCTGTTTTGTAGCAATCCTTCCTTTTACCCTTTGCTTTCAGACAGTGCTTGCATCTTCTCATGTCTTCCTCACTTAGTTGCTGTTCTTGAGTGAGCAATACTCCCAGTTCATGTATCGTCACCCTCAGCACAACTGTCATAACTTGCATATCATAAAACACTGCAGAAGAAATTCAGGCAGGTGTAATTCTGTCGACCACAGAGAGCTGTACTAACTGCAAACAGTCTTGTTGTGGTCCTAACATTTTACTGAACAGTCTGTGCATAAGCTGAACATTCCTTAATACTCACACCACACAATCATCTTCCATAATTTTTAGTGCTTTACATGATGGCATTTGTATGCTACACTAATTGACTTAATAAGCTTTTTTGCATTTATTGTTCTCATGACTAATTTGCTTCATAAAAGATTTAACTTGGAAATAAAACTGTTCTTAAGAAAACCTATCCCACTTGAAGGATGTTCATCCTACCCTAAAGCAATCAAAATCAAATTTCCTATATACTGTTAAAATCAATGACAGTTCTATGGATAATGCATAGAACAGCAATTAATCCTAATTTATCTATACAATGAAAAAAAATAATTATATACTTTTATGGATTCAAAATGCACTCTTATTTTTCAATCTATTTGGTATAAAAAGCCCCTAAAATTATTATATCTCTTACAAGGGAATGGTGGGTTACCCCAAAATATGGTCTAGAATCCAAAAGCACGTTTTTCATATTATGCACAGTACTAATGTCTCAGCAATCCTGTCCAAACTGACCAAGGTTCTGTGCTTGTGGTTCTTCCTCAGTCTCTGTTGGTACAAGCTCACATTCAATTCACAATTGAAATTAAATAGTTGCCTTAGCATTTGCCTTACTGTTTTTAAGGTGAGGGATAATGTTACATGGCTTTTGTCTCATATTTTTAAGGAAACAAAAGATCTCACAAAAATTATATGAGACAAATCAGTCATTTTTAAGATAAACTTTTATTGAAAAATTAAAACTGCATTGCATAACTTCTTTATAACTTCAACATTTCTTAAACCACAAAACAGAGATTCTGTTTAAAAAATCTCTTCATATTTGTCACCATTCAAAAAACAGATTAAGAGCTTACTCCATGATGATTTTAAAATTCTGGATTATTCCCAAGGCCCCTGCTTCTAGCTGTGTGTGTGTGTACCATGAATGGTATCATTATCATCTATCTTCTCTATAAATTACTTTTAATAACACAATCAGAATTTTTCTCATTCAAAATCACCAGCTGCTCTTGATTTTTATCCAGTGGTCAGTCTTTTCCAAATAAATTGTATCAGTTGATAAGCACTGCAGCTACCTGTATAGGTAAGATCTTGCCTATTGTTTAATTCACCCATGCAAAGTTACAGTGATTGTCTGTGTAATTTTAGGGACAAAATTGCTACTTCTGAGTATATTTTAAACCTCTGAAAAACAAAGTTGCTCACCTGGAATTAAAATGCTTCACATTAGTCAATACTTCGAAATATCCATACATCTTAATCTCTCATAGTCAATAGCATATGGATTAAAAAGAAGGAAAATTCTAGGTCAGCATTAGTCTGAGAAGTGTGGCATATTACTCAGATGGAAATGACCTAATAAGAAAACAGATGAGTTTTCTCACTAATGACTATAACTGCTCTGTTGAAATCAGCTATCCAAGTCAGAAATTAATATGAGCATGGTGCCTGTTGAACACAGTATATGTAATAGGAAAACACCCCAGAATCTGATACTAGAATGAAAAGCTTTGCAAAAGTGTAATTGTGGTCATCTGTGTCAAGACACAACACAGCAGAAAAGCAAGATAAATGCAGAGAGTAGAAAGATAAGCCCTCTGTCTTTAGAGACAACACCTATGCATTAACTGTCTCACTTCCAAAACAAGCAGGAGGAGCTCCCTTATTCCCACCTAGCTGCAAACCATCAATGACAATAGGAAGAATGTCATGCTTTTGACCTTCAAAACACGAGTTACTCCATGAAATGAAGAAGCAGAAATTTTAGTTAGCAAAACATTATATATGCACTGAAGAGCTCTAGATCTGTGTCTGACTACATCACAGAACTGTCAGGGGCTTGCTGTATGAATGCCAGTCAGCTGTATTATGGTCTTTCCTACAGCTTCATGATTAGGATGAAGATGATTCTCTTCACCTAGTTTATATGCATCAAGGAGAATTAACATCTCAGATAAATTAAACTATTATTAGAATATTGAGATGGTGATCTGGATACAGGGTGCATGAGGTTAAAATATTAAAATTAGAGGATTAGAGGCAAGCTAGAGCTTTAGTAATACTGTTATTGACAAGGGAGGTGGAGGAAATCAGAAACTCCCATCTAAGAACCGGTGAAAATCATAAGAACCATGCTGTTTGAGTGGAAGACACAAAATCCTCTAGTGAAGCTAAGTCACCAGTTATATCTCTTTGGATTAATTATACTAGTTCATATTGTCTCCCATGAACAAGAAGAACTGAAAGAATTTTTTCAGTCTTCTGTAGCTGCCCTTTGAATAAAGTAAAACTGAGACCAGATTACAGACAGAAGTCTGAAATAAAAATGTGACACGTGCTTCTTCAAAATGAACTTCTTTCTGTACTCTAAGATCAGCTCTCAATGAGAGGTCCTCTAGTTTTGATGAATAGCTGGTATCTATAAAGAATGGCATTTAATATTATGGAAGTTAGTACTGAAGTCAGTGTGCATGCCAACTACATCTGTATGCAGGCCCCAGGTCATACAGCATGGATGTTTACACCAGAAAATGTCAAGTATTGAATACACAGTAATGCAATAGGCTTATAATTGAGGAAGATTGAGGCTTAAGATCAAGAAGACAAGAAACCAACTACAATGTCTTGAAAAAATCTAATGAAAGAAATACTGTACTGGTAAGATTACTAGGGGGTTTAATGATATGAAGTAACAATTCAGATCTGTTTTGAAAATCATACATCTAAAGGTCAGTGACAAATTGACAGTAATTTTTAGATTCAACTAGATTTGAATAAAAGATTTTACAGAAGGTTATGAAAGAGGAATAAGCAAGAGTCCTATGAAAAGCTGGACAGGCTGTGCTGTAGGATACATTTACTGTATCAGCTTCTTTCTTCTTCCTGTGCTAACACAGCCACAAATGTGAGACACCATCCTCCAAAGACAGCCAGTGGGACCCACAGGATGGAAACCTCTCTTGCCTGTGTTCTTCCACAGGACTGACAGGGGCCAGAGAGACTGCAAAAAACTGCATAGCATGACTGTATTGCACTGAAAGTTTCTACAATAATTCCGTTTTATTACTGAGGTGGAGGGGAGGGAGAAAAAGCAGTTAATTACTGACTTGCGAAGAATCACATATGAAAACACTTGGAATTAGCATATTCCATTTATCACCATGACACTAACTCAGTGAACAGAGGATTATTGAATCTCCATTTTGTTCCACTACTCTGTTTCCAGTATGGACTTTTCCACTCAGTAATATTGATTACCTAATGATTAAAATTGATCAAGCTGCAGATGAATCTGGTGTCTATACTTTGAAAAGCCTAACCAGTTGAAATTATTGGGACAAGCTAGCTGTATTAAAAGATACTGAGATTACTTCTGATTTTAGTTATTTTATAAGCTCCAAATAGATAGTAAATTCCATTTCACTAAAAGAATGGTGTTGGTTAAAACTCCCACAGAATTTAGTTAAAATGGTCATAGAGGTCAGTCCTGAAATAAAATTCAAAAACAGGGGCCTTGGTTAGCAATCAATATTCACTGAAAAAGCATTCAGAACACTGAACAGACAGTCTGACATTACAATAAATAGAACTGAAATTTCTAATAATTCTAATAGATTAAAGGGATCCCATAATTTGATAATCTATACACAATGTCAGGATTCCTTATCTTCAATAAAATTATCTGTAAGTTATTACTTTAAGGGCACTAGGATTTAAAAGAAAGTGTCAACTAATATTTTTGTATTTTTTCTTTGGCTCACAAAGACACTAAAATACCATAAACATTATTTAGAACTTCAATAATATATAAATAGGTTACATTACAAACGGAAGAAAATACAAGACAACTCTTCAGCATGGTAAATCTCTGCATATAAATAAGCAAATATTTTGGATACCTACAATTAAACAGTTATCTTGCTGTAAAACTATTACATTTAAATCCTTTTACACAAAGTCATTTAACAATAATATACACAATCTACACAAATTAACCTCTAAAAATACAGCAATAATATACCTGTTACAATGACTGCTACTGTCATCCCCTGATTTGACACTAAAGGGCAAGTACGACTATTTTACTCAAAGGTGCTCTTAGAGATTGCTGTTTTGTCTGTGAGAAAAGCACCAACAATAAGATCTAATACTGTTATACATTTTCTTTAGCTCCTAAGAATCTACATTTTAGAAATGTTTCTGTATGTCTATTTCTGTCTGGCAGAAAAACTTGTAGCACATTATCCACATCAATGTTGTTGAAGGAAAACTTAATTTTCTTAAAGTGGAAAACATGCTGTGGCTTAGATCTAAGTTTATAACCACTTTATATATATATAGTATGTATATATATAATTATATATATATATTTATTTATACTGTACATATATACTGTGCAGAGTTCTTAATTTGCTATTTTAATACTTGCTAATTTTCTGCTGCCTACAATAAATAAGACCAATGTAAGAGTCAATAGTACTTCAACTTCAAGATAATACATTTTCCCTCAATAATATGATCTACCAATACATATATATTTCAGTAGCCTATAGTTGTTTTGTTTAAGGATGTCTTAGGAGATTGGAACTTACAGAAAGAGAATTTCCTTAAAACATGTTCTGCAGAACTGGGCTAAAAAAAATAGCCAGTGCTGAAAAACAGTGAATTAGAGAAATAAATAATTCAAGCACTACAGCTCCTGTCCCAATCTCTCAATTTCCTCAATGAGGAAGTCAATGTCAGACTTAGTTGCTGCTGGGTTTGAGATAACCATTCGGAAAAAGTTGACTTTTTCGCCCTGAGGCTGATATCCAACCATGGTGGTACCTGACTCCATCATCAGTGCCTTGATTTTCGGTGCCACCTTTATCATTAAAGAGAGAGAGAGAGAGAGAGAAAGAGAGAAGAAAAAATTATTCTTTCCTTGTATGTCACAGGAGTTCTTAATTCAGAAAAAATAATTTGACAGATATTTGTTTTAATAAAAAATGTCTATAACAAGAAAAAGCTTGAAAAATTAAATATGTAGGATTGGCAATTTAAAAGAAAATTGACAACAATTATATCCTTTTTTTTTAAATTTGAAAATTAGTAACATCCCAGAGCATTCACTATGTAATAATTTTATATATTAAATGTACATGTCCTTTCTTTGTGCTGAAGATTTTGTCACAGTGAAACATTTTCTGCTTCTGTATGAAAATCCACTCCAGACCTTCTTGAGGGTAATGGATGTTTTCCATGAGAATATTACGTATTCTCAAAGCGTTTTGTATATGGGGACAACAATGGAAATTTTTTAACAAGACCTATGTCATAAAGAATATTTTTTGTTAGCATAAGCCATAGAAACCTTCCAGTAGTTGTGCAGTACTGTGCATTTACCACAATCTCACTTCCTTGGTTTAATTTACAGGGAATAAAGTTCTGACAGTCTTAATATTTGGTATTGACTAAGTCCAGTTTTTCCATCCAGACCTTCATTCTCCTGCTCTACTCTCTGCCAGGCAAGGTCAGCTGTCTGGCTCTTTTACTGTTTTGTAGAATGCTTTATGATGTCCTCTAACATTTAGCAGGGTCAAATCAAATATTTCATCCCTCTTGCTGTTTCTTACCTCTTACCTCTATCTTCCTTTATTCTCTCTTTTTTTGGCAATTTCTTTATCTAACATGGGACTGGCTTGACCCAGGAATTTCACCCAGGAATTTCTGTTCTCTTCTATTCTCTTTACCCATTGTGATGCAGTCATTAAATCCTCTACAAAATCTCCCAAGTTTCCCCATTCTTCTCCCTTCCCTAACACACACAGACACAAAAGAACAATTATTTTTGACACCTTTGAAATCATTCTTTTTTCTCCTGAATGTATTCCATTCCACTTCTGTCTAAAACACTACTACAAAATAACTGTATTTTGCTTCCCTCAAGTCCTGAGTAACATGGTGTCTTTTCTGGTGGTGCTTCTGTGATGCCTTCAGTTCCCTCTACCATTTCAAATAAAAGTATTCCAAGGTCCTCCAAAGGGTATTCATTTTCACTGAAATGCATTAATGCATTGGCATTTAAAATCAAAATAAATACCTGAGAAAGAACTTAAAGGTTTTCATGTCCCTTACTTGTCCAAGCATTTTCAAACAATTACCCTTCTTTTTCTCTTGTTGATAAGCTCTCCTATCCAAAAAAGACTGTGATGTCTGTAGGCCTAGCTACTTTTTGGAGGCTTGTAACACTTGTGAGCACAGGATAACTGAATATGTTCTGAATCTTGTTCTATAGGGAAAACATGACTTCAGCATCAAGATAAAGGGAATAAAAAAGTGAACAAATACCAGGGTCATAACAAGCAACAGAGAACTGACATCTCAGAATTTGAAATTATCTTTTTACATTTAACCAAAAATACTTACCCTGTGTAACTTTTCTCTTCTCTCATCAGAGTCTGGCATGCCCCTGAGACTTGGAGGAATATACCAAAAACATACATTTGTATGCTCTGGCTGCAAAAAGAACCAAACATACACATCAATTAAAAAAATTATACAGGTCAGTCCCACACTAAAGGCTAGTCAGTAGCATATTTTATCACAGGCATGAAAGACAAAATATAGTATTGACTTTCCTAGTCCTGCATGTTAAACAGAAAGAAATGAATTGCAGTACTGCTGCTTGCCTCTGCTGCCTTAGATTCCCTATACATTGTCTCATTTGCAATATTTAGGTTGCTAATGAAGTGCAAATGCTTTTCACCTTTGTGCAGTTTTATGAGTAACTGTTTTTCAGGATCACATCAAGGTCAACCAATTTTCCTTTCCTTAGTAAAGGGAGAAATTAAGTTTATACTATGACCCAAAGGTTTATGTAGTGGCACTAGCAACAGAATATACAGTAAAAATAGCAGATTCTCAGTTATGTACACAATAGCCTCCGTACAAGTAGGTTGTATTAAGGTTGTATTAATCTTCATGCCCTAAACTGAGAAGGTCTCTGCAGAAAAGGAGGACATAAACCTGACATTCATGGTACAAAACCACATGTATTTGACAAGAAAACCTGCCCAGATGCCAATAGTCACGTAGTTCTTTAGAAAATAAGAGCAGTTTTGCATAGCTGTCTTAAAGAACTGTGAGAAGCATGAAGACAGATTTGGCTCATACATATATGAAAGCAAACTTACCTCCCCTTCAAAAACCATTTCAAATTCTTCTCTGTTTTTTATTTTAGTGTAGAGATACTCTGCCAGTTCCAGGCATTTATTGATTTGATTTTCAAATCCTACTGTACCCTGTTTAAATAAGAAAGTAGGTATTAATTTTATGGTCCTTTTTTTTCCTGCTCTGATGCAATCATCTTTTCAGATAGGTTTCACTCTTAAATATTTTCAGGCAGAAAACATTTAGCAGTATTATTTCTTGTAACTTAAAAGTAGCATTAATAAATGGTAAAAAAGTGGCTAAAGGTGGCCCAATTGTAAATCATTTTGGTTTGTCTCATTTTAAGAGAATTTATAATGAAAATAACAAGGACTTCCACTATTTTTAGTAGATTATTTTAGGTCTTTTGTATTTTTTCCAGTTTCCAAAAATATTATGGGTATTATGTCCTGGCTTCAAAGCTTCTGCTGAAATACCAGAAGCTTGGAATGGGAGCTCAGTTGAAAGTGTAAAAACTGGGAAATAAATTATTTCCTCTGACCAGTTTGCTAGAAATGAGCATTTAATCCACATGCAAAAGTCTGCAATATGTTTACTAGAAGTCTCTTGCCAACCCACTGATATCTTGTCAAAAATCATAATCCCAGAAAAAAGTATATGGATGTTGCTAATAAACAGTAGGGTTTTTCCTAAAGTACACTTTGTACATGAATGAAGAAGCAAGCATTTTTTCCCAAAGCGAAAACTGTTTTATAATTTTAGAGTGTATCATTAGATTTAATATAAATTTTATTTTAAAAAATAGACTCGGACAGGTTACCCAACTGAATTCCCATTTTGCCAGCAGAAGGGTAAGAATAAAAAATGAGATGACTGCAGATAAAGCAATAAAGATGGAATGTTTTCTGGACTACATGAACCCTCATCTTGTGTACATGTAAGCTTGGACATAAGCCCATGTTTAAGTTCAGCCATCCAGGCATACCACAGTAGTACCAGGTAATCAGCAGTGGAATCATCTTGGCACTTGGGCAATGCTTCCTCAGAAAAAGGCTTTGTTTTCCAAGTCACTTATAAAATCTATGCACTGAAATGTCATGCTCAAAGGACCCTTGTAAGTCATCAAGGCTACTCTGCTGTTACTACAAGAAATCTGCCATAAGGTATGTATGCAAGTGTAGAGCATCACAACAAGAGATCAGTTTGGTGCCCTGCCCTCAAAGCTTTTTCTGCAGGACTCATCTAGTAAATTAAACCTTTCTTCAAGTTGCCATCTGAATTCACTGATTGCTCTACAATTCACATAGTTCATTTCTAAGTTAATACTTGGATACTTGTGTGTTTAGAGATTGTAATGACACAAATATTTATGTTAAAATGAAGTATTGCATTACAGGACACTTAGAAATTAAATAAATACATTTCTGGTTTTTGACCTAAATTCTTGTTTATTTACCTTTGCTTTCCACATCAACCAGAATTTGAAAATGTCCACATGTCGACCACACTGTATTGCCTTATCTCCAGTGTCATAGGAAACATCATACTGTTTGTCTGGCTGGAAGAGATAGCCTGCACACATTTGATTGCAGCCTTGAAGGATACCCTACAATGAAAAATGCATAGACTTATATGACTTAACTGTCGCTAGTGCATGAGAGAATGTACGCATTAATAATGTATAAAAATGTATTTCAAACGTGTTCAGGAGAATTGTTCTTTGATAGGACGTATAACGTACTGACCTTGTTTTGTAAACCTGAGCAACAAAATTAATTTCATAGCCTAAGGTGGTTCTCTTAGAAGTCTCTGAGTAGTCATATGTTTTTACACACAAAAACAACTCCCCAGAGAAAACATTCACAGATTCATTTGGATACTTTGTGATATTAGCTTTACCCACTTCAATTTATAAGGCTATGTTTTTTAAACTTAAATTTATGAGTTGTTAAATTACACACTAGAATAAAGCTATGGTCTCTTGGTGCAACAGATTGCTACACAAAATAAAGTGAGAAAACTTAATTGAAGGTTTAAACTTTGTATGTTGTTCAGCTATATGACACTTAACATTAGTGATAAGTATAAGCACAAATGATATAAACTGGACATTTTTTGCATATAAATAAATATGGTTCACAGACCAATAGAAATCAATGGACTACTGGTAAAAATGTCTGGTGGAAACACTGGGCAGCAAATTCCTGTATGTTATATGTGACATTTTTAAATGGTTTGCATTTCCTTTGAAGTTTATTAGTGTTTTTTCAAGAAACTTGAAGACACCAGTGTGTCTCATAAATACAAAAACATCTATCAAAGTTCTCATATAGAGAACAAAAACTCTTTCCAAAATCCTGCAGTAGCTGGCACAATGCATGCATGCCACTAAAGAAAGGCTCATGGTTCCCTTCAATAGATGTGTTTTACAAAGGGAAATAAATGCTGCAGTCCTCAGTTTAGAGATGGATCAGCTGGAAGAACAATGGCAGACCTAGGGCTGCTACTTACAACTCTTCCATCCCAGTTCTACACACAGGGATGGAATTAAGTGCTTCTAGTAGCAATTGGCACGTAAGAGATTAGTAGACAACATCATTAGTCCTATCCACATATGGTATTATTTTCTTTTTTATCATTTAATAAAAGTATGTATTACTTAAAAGAAGCAAGACACTAGGTTTGCTTTCATTGATGACAACAAAGAATCTCGATGCCAGCCCTTGAAGTACAGTCATAATAAAAGTAGCATGTTTTCTTTTCAACAGAACTGGGAAACTTCTAAACCACTGCATAAGGTAAAAGCTTGCCTCTTACTTCAGCAGTTTAGACTGTGGCCAAGTACTAAGACTGAGGTTCTATGTTCAATATATCATAGAAACATGGGGCAGGTATTGTTATTAGGACTGCTCTATTGTTGCTATTAGAATATGCAAAGATGTAACAGGTGAGGATCTGACCCATGTTGTCTACAATTTTAATAAAAAAAGCCAAAAACCCCAGGACAGATAAAACAACTTCCAAAACACAACGCAAACCCTCCTTCCAAAAGAAGTTTTGAAATTAAACAGATTTTGCAGTACCCTCTTAAAAAGTAGGGCTTGATATTTACTTTTTAATTTTGTTTCTAAAAATATTCAGTTATTAAATATAAGGCAGACCTTCTCCCGGACAAGAATTGCAGAACATTGTAACAACACTCCCATCATCTTGTGTGGATTCCAAGTGACTGAGTTGGCTCTGCAAAAAAATTATACGTTCAGATAGATCTGGAAAACAGAAACTTAATCTGAAGCAGTCACCTTTGTTTTCTGCTTTCAGCTGGAAATATATGACATTTTGACCATTATGATATCATTATGGATACTGTTACTGTCTGAAGTGTCTTTTTTCCCAGCTATGCTGTCCAGGAAATGAATTATTTTCATGTTAACATAGCAATGTCAGACTTGTGATTAGCTTATATTATTAGTAATACCAGCTAATTAGTATCAGACTAATTAGCTGATTCAGTAACATCATCCCCAGAAGAGTTCTCTTTTAGAAATAGCACTAATAAAAATAACAAAACTACTTTGACATGTTCTATTCAAGGAAGTGACAGGGAAAGTGGGGGTGTCAGAGAATTAAGGGACCGGTATAGATTTTGGGAGAATACAATTCTTTAACGAACAACTGCTGGAAAAATAGAAAGGAAATAAGAAGACATTCTGCATTCTTACCTGTTTTCCTAGTTAGAGCCAGAGCCCTTGTTTGTCAAGCCCATGGACTGTTAAAAGGCTCTAAAACTTCACAGCATATCCTACCATTCTGTATGTAAAGCTCAAAATTTCTTACATGTAAACACAAGTGAATGCATGAGATCACCTAAATTACATGTCAAATGGATTTTATGTATTTCAACATACTATCCTAGACAGTTTAATGGTGACACTGAAATAAATGTGCCAACATTGCACATCCATTGACCTTTTCACCCTAAGTAATTAATTACCAGGCATTCCCTTGATTCACTGCATGTTCCAGAGAAGCAAAGTGCATAATTGTATTTCACAGACTACACATGTGTTTTTACAGTATGGCTGAAAGAAAATTAAATGGTATTTCCTCCTCTTCTACACCCTGCTCGCAGAGGACACAGACACAACCACAGTTTCTCTGTTTTGAGCAACACAGTGATGTCTTCACCCCAGTCTGATGACCGCTACATACAATTCCAACCCCTGTATGTGCTAGGTTAGACTGTAGCACCCCTCAGCTGAAAGAACAGTGCCGTGCGGTAGCTGGGGACTTCACCATCCATCTAACATCGGCTGCTTATGCAGTGCAAACCAGCAGATAAATAGCTCAGACTTAGGAGGCAATTATCTTTTAGAAAAACTTCACTAATAGTTCAGATGGAGCGGTCAGGAAAAAGGAATTTATATAAAACTGCTTTTCTTTTTAAAACACCATGCCTTCAGTTTAGCACATTCATTTAACTTTCAGGGTTTCAAACAAAGACAATTTTAAGCTGTTCCTCACAAGGAGCATCAGGTGTGTTTTAACATGAAGCTGTCACTCTCTCCTCCGTGCAGCCCCCAGCCAGAGGCTGTCCTACCTCTCCCAGCCTAGAGACTCTCTCTCCTAGAGCCTCTCCCAGCCCTGTGCCATGGCAGCATGCCAGTCCTCCTTGCCAATGTGTCCAAGCAGGCCAAGTAGGACCTGAGTGTTAGCAAGACCCCAGCTGGGGCCCATGACAGGCAATTACACCGTACACGTGGGCCCCATCCTGTGTTTGAAGATCTGTACAGCTGACTAGGAAAGAAATAATTTCATGCTTCATGGCCTGCTGCTTTCTGTATTTGCTTAAAATTATGGCCTTAATTAGCACCTCAGGGTTGACCTCAGGTCAAAGGGGTGTGCCAAACTCCTGTGACCAAACCTCTGTATCTTAACAAAATTATTTTGCAATGCTGACTTAGACACGTTGTCAAGAGTCACAAGCAAACTGGACTGGGCAAAGGTTGATAGGATTCTGCTGCTTCAGAGTACTCTACACTACATGCTGCTGTCATTGTGACAAAAGGGTCCACATGGCTCTGCTGTCAGTTCTTTCATATCCAGTCCTATCCTTGATGTTGTACTTATTCTTCACTTACTGTGTGAGGTGCCCAAACCTAGGATAGTTTGTTTTCCCTAAGGAAGAGCATTGCTCATTGTACTCATTTTACAATTTTACATGGTGCCTGCATTCAGAATGGCAAACTCAAGGAAGCAAGTTGGTACTAATTTAAAAGTATATGGATAGAGGTTGCTTCAAATATTTTTTGCTTCCCTGAAGGCTGATATTTGCAATGATGGAAAATATCTAAAATTTCTAATTCTTCATTGCCTTCCTGATTTCCTGATTTTTTTTTTCTTATGGGCACCATGGTAGAGCGCTTTCAGAGGAAATCTAGAGACCAACACATTCATGGGTTTATCAATATAGCATCTTCTACACACTTGTCATCATTGGACATGGGAACAACTGTGCCAAAGACTACGCCTGGACGGACTCCTGAGTCAAAATTGCAAGGACCAGTGGGAGGGTCACGCTCTCACTCTGCTATCACTACCAACACAAATGCTTTGCCTCTATAAATTTGATTCAATCAAAGGCTGGCTTCTGGTCTCAGTGGGCATCTTGGTAAGCTGGCTTATGTACCTGGGGGTACACACATGCTTTTTTCTGTAGGCTTCACTCTGACCTCTACAAGAGCTTCCTGCTTGTTTCATGTAATCCCCACATGGCATCAACACACAGGCCCCTTTGCCCTGAGACAGATGAGCACCTGTGACCCTTTCTGGCCTCTCTGTAAATAACCCCAGTCTTCTCCCTGGTACAGCAGAAGTGCAGCAGCTCTGTCTATCATAGCCCTTTCAAGCCTTAAAAGTACTGAAACTTGCTGCTAATTCAGTCTCTACCTCCTCTCTTTGTTGCATACACCTATCTATTTTTTTTGTGTGTGTGTGTATAAATAAGAGTAATACAAATATAAAGTGTTCCATTTACAGAACACTCATGAACATATAGTCTTTATTTTCTGGAAAAACTGCAAACATCTTTCAGGAAAGATTCCTCATTTATCACTGCTATTCTCAAAGCCCTACATTTCAGAGATTGTCTAGCTCTCATAGTTCATTTTTTTCTTCAAATACTTCTCCATCCCTCCATCCATCCCAGACTTATGAACCCTACAAAGCTATGCATAGAACAATTTCCCTTCCTTTTTGCCAAGTAATATCTTTGTCTTCCTTCAAATCTGCTGAAAGCTTACCTTTCACTCAATGGTACATCACAGATTTCTTCTGTAGTATTGTTTCAGTCTCCCCAGTCTGACCCTTTCCCCTCTGTCTCACTATTGTTTAATATAGTGTTCAAACTCCTTAATGTAGCAAAGGAATATTTTCATGAATTGATGAAGGGTCATGTACCTTATGAAAGTACTTTAGGAAAAGTATTACAAATAAGCACTGTGTAGTACCTTTCTATTCCATTCAGTTTATGACGGTGCTTTCGGGACATTAGGAGTCCACCTCCCCAGGCAGCCTGGAAATGACAGAAAAAAGAAAAGACTCCTTTTTTAGAAAAAGATCAACAGATTTTAGTTTACTCAGGATCTAGTAATAAATATTTTAATTCAAGGAAAAAAAAGTGTGTACTAAGATAATTTTTTGCCTGAATAGCATCACTTTTTTCTTACTTACATCTACATGGAGCCAGAGGTTGTATTTTTCACAAATATCTGCAATCTCCTGTATTGGATCAAAGGCTCCATATACTGTTGTGCCTGCAGTTGCATTCACAAAAAGAGGAACATATCCCTACAATAAAATTAAAAATATCAAATATAAATTGAAAACACTTTCAGAAAAAAGAAGGGGAAAAAAAGAAAATTATTCCAGAAATATTAGCTCATTTTTTAACCTAAAAACATTTTTCTTCCTATGTGAAAGGCACAACATAAGCAACAGTAGAAACTAACTTATCATATACATGGTATTTTCTTGCAATTTCACTTCAGAAAATTAACTAGTTAGAAAATAAAGAAAATTATTTTGTCTAATCTCTTTCAGTGAGGAAATTCAAACAACGTAGTGTAAGATGACAAAAATTCAAATAAATTTGGGACTTTTACAGCAGTATAAACAAAAATTAATTAAATGTGATTTGTAAGTCATGATTTGAAGGCTTGAAATTGTTCCTTTAGTCTTTATCTACTAATAAAGAGAACAAAGCAGAACAAAGCAATCTAAAACAAAAGCAATAAATGAGAAACTATCAGATCAAAGAGAGACAATTTTGAATTAGATGAAATAAATGTGAACTGCTATTTCATAGTGTCCAAATGTAAAGAAGTTAAGAAATAAAAAAAAAACCAATAATCTTGATTTCTCTTTGGTTATTTTATTAAAAATTCATGTGTTTTTCCACTGCATTGATTCAAGAAATAGCAATTACTGCCTAAAATTTAAGCTTATTATCTATATTTAACAAATATTCTTGCTACCTACATGAAATCTATAGGGTTTTCCAAGGGCTCTGTAGAATCTTTCATGGGTTTGACTAAACTTAAAAGTTTAGATAAAAGTAGCTTATATTTTATGTTTCCATGCTTGTTTCCAGATATTTACAAACAGGAAGTTATTTTTAAAAGTCATGAACTACAGATGTGGTTCAAGAGTTAAAAGACTTTTTGTTTTAATCAGAAAATGGAAACCTTACCAAGACACATAGATAATTCTGTAAACAATACATGAATATATAATTAAGCATTAAAAAATATGGTTATTATATTTATGTCATGATAATGTTCTCTGTAATGACAACACAGGCTTCAAAGGAAGAAGCAATTTTACTAAGCCAAGCATTTAAGCATAAATTTTTAAAAACACAAACCTTTTCTTTTGCTTCCAGAATTTTTGCCTCCAAATCAGCTGGTATTATTTTTCCTCTGTAATTATCACAGAAATATAAAGATAAAAAAATTTAAGAATGTATATGGAAATAATAGTTGCAGTTGAAATAATTCAATAGGATTTTCTCAACAGGCCATTAGCAACTTGACACACTGTACTGAATCAGTCCTTAAACACAATAAAACAAATTTAACAGATGAGCACATGTAATCTATCAAAACTATAGTATTCCTCCTACCTTTCATTGCATTTTATCAAAATAACATTGTCTGTTCCAAATCCAAGTGCAGCTCCAGCTTTCTTTATTGAGTAATGACTCTGCAGCAAACATATGAACACGAAATGGAGTGGTTGTTTAATGACAAAGCATTTTCACAACATATATCAGTAAATTAAGAATTATCAGTGTATTAAACTCACATGCTCTGAGGTAAAGAGAACCAGTTTAGGGACTGCAGCCATGCCTTTGGTTTTAACTTCAGGAAAATATTTGTAGCGTGCAGCCATTATGCTGTACATGTTGGAGATTGCTCCTCCTGTGAATGAATAAATAAATGAATAATAAAACAGTAATAATGAAGAAAAAAGTACATTATGCCACAGACATACACGTTTCATTTGCATAATGCAATGAAAGTGGCAGTGAACTATGAAAAAATATTTCTCTGAAATGCGCAGGCATCTGTCTAAATAGCACAGGACAGACTCTCGAGAAAGCCAGACTAATAATCAGAATTTCCTAAATGCCATCTCTTTCAATTGCTATCATTTTGCAACATTCCTAAAAAGTTCAGCTTTCATTGTGCTGCTTTTACATGATAACTTCTTGTTAGCAAGAACAACAGGAACATATTAACTTGTCTGAGATTGAAGGAATGTCACATATTGGATGGTTTTATCCTATCTTACTGTAGACATAGAAGTAAATGCTTAAAGGTAGATTTCTACAGCTGATCTACTTCTTCTAAACACCCTCACAGTCGGCTATGGGAAAGAGGCACTTCACAGGCTATGATTCAGCTAATCTATTTTCACAGTTACTTTTGAAGAATTTCAGAAGAGGGAAAGCACCTATTTCTCTTGGTTTGCTGCTAAAAAGAGCCCTGAACAATTAGCTCAGTCCTTTGGTGCAGACCTCAAGCTTTAACAAAATCAATCTCACACCTATAAGCCTAGGATGACTTCTTCCTCTAAACTTTTTCATTGATGAGAACACAGGAAGATTTGTATATTTCTAGCAGATAGGACTGGAGATCAAACACTTATGTGGGCTGTTCCAAAAGCAGGTGGTTTTGTCCTTTATGCTCTGTAACAGGATGGTGTTCCCTCATGCCAAGCCCAGAAAAGTTCTGCTGGGCACCCACAGGACCTTCACATGGTTCATCATCAGTTGTTTCTGTCACTGCTCATTGCCTTTATGGTCCTTGCATGGGAAGGCGCTTTGTCTTGGTCTTTATGCTAGAATCATACTTGTGAATCCAAACAGATTATATCCCAAATAATGTGTCCCAGAAAGTGACAGACAATCACAACCTTTTCCTGACTGTGAGCCCAAATTCTTACTGACCACCAAAGAAATCAGTACATGATTCTGAGAACTTCTAGTCAACAGGTTGCTCAGCCCCTCCAGAAATGAGGCTCATAAAAGGGCTGTTTAAATGCCTGACTGTGCACCAGAGCCCATAGTCAAGTTTTAAATGCTGATCAGCCATAGTACATTGACATAGCCAGGGATAAGTTTTTGCCCCAGCTTTTCTGTGGGATGTTTAAACAAAGCATTCCTACTTCTAAATATCTGACTCATTGTATGGCAGATAGTGTGAATAATCAGACACAGCCTATGTTTATTTTAACTTCTCAAGTTTTAGTCAAACCACCAAAACAGAGAAGAAAAACTCACCAGGTGAGAATATCCCATCACCATCTTTATTTGACCATCCAATGATCTCCCTCATCTTTCGAAGTGTTATTTGTTCCATGAGGACAAAAACAGGGGCAATTTCATAGGTAAACCTGTGTGGATAAAGCAAAACAAGCAAACAAATACAACATAGATACAGATTCTAAAAACATGTAATAAATTCCCAGTCAGTGATTCTTTTTTAGAAACCTCTAGTATTTTAACAGTTTTCCTGTAACCTGTAGTTCTGATCCTTAAGCTTTATCCAAGCAAAAATCCGGAGGAAGACAATACTGGAAATACTGACGAATAAAAACTGCAGTATTAGTTATTTTGCAGCTTTCTGTGTAACCTAATGTTCAACATCACAGCACAGCTGACATCTGTACAAGGTTGTCCTGTGAAATAACTGTTTCCCAAAGTGCCAATTCCACACTTGTGGAACAACATACTGCTAAATCCTTATGAAAACAGTGAACTTCATGGAGCTAAACAAAACCATAATTAGAAGTATTGAGCTAGGGTTTCAAAGTCTAAATATAATTAATTATGTGGATTTATTCTGTTGATGATCTCCAAGGACAACTTACTTCTACAATACAATGTGATCAATAACTGTCAAGAGTAATTACAAATGATGATTTTCTAATTACTAATTACCAAAACCAAGTCAGCAGTCAACTATTGTATCCACTTAATGAGGGCAAAAAACATTACATATCCTGGCATGCCCTGATGTCAGAGTCAGATATGTGGATGGAAATTGACATCCATACAACTATTTTTGGTGATCAAGGTACATGGATAAATTACTACTGCTGTAAACAAATTCTGCTGGCTGTGCATGAGTCAAAAAAATAAGTAAGGGAGAAAAGGAAGCAGAGAGAAATGAAAAAATCAACCTCTAATTTCCAAAGAATTCTATAAGAGTATGACACCCTGACACTTTGGATTTGACTGATATCCTCTGCTTGAATAATTGTGTCAAAACATATGTGTTGTTTCTCTAACACTAAAATGATATTTTGAGGATAGGTACAGCAAACTTGAATGAGACAAGATATTAAGAAGGGAACAAATGTCTGAAAAAGCTTGTCTTTTATTTACAGCTACACCAGTTGCTTAGACTGTTAGTATTTTCTTCAATTTTTATATGTCCTTAGTTCATCAGAGAAACACCATTGTTATTTTTAAAACATTCCCTGAAGATTAAAAAGCTGTGATTTGTTTAATTATTGTGACTGCTATTTTCAGAAGCCAAAATACTAGTAATTTTGTTTTTATTATCATCAGAACTGGTAGAGACAGTTGAAAACTGATCTGAAGTTTTTGGATGCTGCCACTACTTACAAATGGACAAAATTAATAAACAGTGTGTGCTAACAGTGGTTTGGACTTGTTTTGTTTTTAAGCACTGCAAGTCTAGAATATATTCCAATCTTTAATTAGGCAGAATGATCAACTGATGTCCACAGGAACACAGCAGTGTATAGATAGCTGTAGCTCAGTGCAAGGTACTCTTAAGTCAGTGTAATTATTTTTTTCCCCACCAGTTTAAACACATTTTGAGTTTTTTCCTGAGACCTTGCACACTGAATTTTGAATATATTAAACACAAAAAAACCAGAACTTATTTATTCTATTCTGCAGGTATTTTCTGAATCTCCAAAAACTGACAAGAAATAAATGACAGTAGATGTTTATAAATTACAAGGCAAATTAAGCTATATTAGGCGATGGCTATGAATTTACAAATCACATCTTGTTCACTCTGCCTTACTTGCTTTAAACTTAAATTATTTTGAAAATTTCAGTAAAATTCAAAAAATGTGTTTGGTTTTAAAGGAACCATGTAACTTTAGAATCAATCTCCTAAAAAATGCTGATTAGATTTTTCCTATAGTTACAACATTTACAGGTATTTCTGTGAATTAGCTATAACAGTCATGAGTATCAGCTCTTTGCTAACAAAATGAAATAATGCAGGTTTTTTAGTAGGACCAGTGCTGGAATAATTCTCCTCTTACCTAAAGGACAAATCGCTTTATCAGACCAAATCATTCTAGTTACCGTTCTCTCATTGGCCAGTATGTAAAAATCTGTCTGAGAATAAACACAGAGCATTTTACATCAATTTTCTATTCATAAGCATATCTGCATAATTCTGAAAACAGCAATATATTCCCTTGTCTCAGGTAACAGCGGGCATAAACAGAACTTCCAGATAATATTTATTTTTAACCTCAGCTGCTGCTGCATGGTGAGAGAATGCCCTGTGCTCCAGATCTCTAGAACTGGATGAATAATGAAATTCTGAATTTCCATGCTGAAGGTCTCATGACTAGTGATTGAGCTATGAATAGCACATTGATATATTATTTTCAAGTCAATGTGGGAAGCTTATTATGTTTAATTGTATATATTATCTTCACAGTGACATTTAAGTAATATTTCCTAATGACAATTTAAAATTTTAGGAGAGTACAGATGTTTTGATTACTCAAAACTCATCTGCAAAAGAAAACACATACTTTGAATTGTTCACAAATATTTTAAGTACTGTTTATCTGTAGAAAAGAAAAAATGGCAAATGGAAAACACTCCCTACCATAATTCAGTGTTATTGTTGCTTATGTGTTGTGTGCTCATGTAGCTGTAATAGGTTAGAACAGCTTCTAGGTAAAGGTCAAAACCTGTTCTTGTGTGCTGGAACACTGCTCAAAACAAATAGTATGTTCCCCAGAGCTCACAAGGGGTGATTTGGTTCTTTTTAATAACCTTCTCTGTCAGTCCTTTGAATCACATTTCACAAACATCTTGCTTTAACCTTACTTGCAATTACTGTGTTACTTGAAAGCACACCATGTTGACTACGGTTTGCTGAAAAAAGGGCACACTAAGCCTCACACTGACAAATAGATACTAAATTTTCAGATTCACAGTGAAATATTTACAAAATATGTTATTGTTTAAAGCACAAATGAATGAGAAACTAGCTATTTAACACCTTAATTTCAAAAAAAGAATACAAAACATCAATTAAAAGAGTTACCCTTTTAGAAGTGACTGTGATGTTATTAATAATTTCAATATTTCTTTATTTTAAAACATGTTCAGTACAGGACTAAAGAGACCAGTCTTACCTGCTGAATATTTGGACTTTGAATATATATAAAAACTGACTAGATGGTTTGGAATGTTTTTACTGGTTTGGGAGGTTTTTGGATTGGTTGGTGGTTTTTGGCAGGGCTTTTTTGTTGCTTTTTTTGTTTTTGTTTTGTTTTGCGGGTTTGGTTTTTTTTCATTAATTGCACTCTTGCAAAAATTCATCATAGTGGCTTATACTGACATTTAGCTTTCATTAACTTTGAGGTCAAGAAAAATTAGGAAAAGTTTCTTATTTGATGCATTCAGATGTCAAATTTTACTTTTTTTATACTTCCACTTATTAATTTACACATGACTTTATTAATCTTAGACCAGTTCCTTCATTAGCATAAAATTATTTTTTCAGTGTTACATTTTTAATCGTTTTGATGCTACCCAGAAGCCACTTCTTTATTAGCACATGAACAGAATGTACTGCCTCAAGCCTGCTATCTCTGAAGTCAACAGTAGAGAGGAAAATTAATTTTTTCGTATCTCGTGTTCTAGTGTTAACATGGCTGCATAGTGGATACATAGTGGATAGCTGCAGACTTGTTCAGTCTAGAGACAGAGCTTTAAAAATAAAGAAAAATATAGAGAAGATTGATCCAAAAGAAGAAAAGTAATTTCATGATATTATATTAGAATAATAATTTTTACTTACCCTGTGCTCTCAGATATTTGCATTTCTATTCGGTTTTATGTAACTATTTTCATTGTATTACTGACACATTAAGAAAAACATGAGACATATTTCCAGAAGATGTAACACTCATCATTTAAAAATGAAAACTATTCATATCTGTGACAATACCTATCTACCATGACACCTGGCAGCCCACGTAAGCACCAGTCACAGACACGGGTGACAAGACACTGCTTACATGTTTGTATTAGCAGTAGATGTCAGCCACTCCCCAGCCAAGCCAATAATGTCCAGTCCTGTGGACAGCTGATTGAAAAAGCGAGGATGACCTGAAAAGAGAATCGAGAGCAACTTAGAACAAACTCTATCGACATCTCTCAGGTTTCAGATTTAAACCATCCACCCTTTCTGACACAAATCACAGGTTTGTACTCAGAATTTGCAGCAAACTTTTCAAAGCAAGTCCTGCTTACGGGGAGACTGATAGCCAACATTCACAGATGTCTTATTACAAACTTGAAAAAATACTTAGGATATGAGTTTCTGTATGGCATCATTTACATTTGAAAGAGAACCTTAGAGTCGACTGAGCCTGTAAACACCTCCGGGAGCTGCTCAAGGGCTTGGGCTAGCCCATTTCCAGAGCCCTCTTCTGACTTCCGTCGTGCTGTGAACTCGGCTGAGGAGCCGCGGTGGGGGACATCCCCTTGGCAGTAATAACTTCCAGGTACTGGGGCTATTTGCATTTAAATGGAGGAAGACTCAGACTCAGGCGCTTGAACTGCGGCTGCAGGAGTGAGAGAGGGGTGAGGAGGAGCCAGTCTCTTCCAGAGCTATAAGGACACGGGAGAGACGCTTCAAGGGGTCTCGGCAGGAAAAGCAGCAGGGGTAGAGGGCCCCCCAAGAGCTCCTCGACTCGGGCCCTTTCCCCACATGGTTTAGAAAGCAGAATTCACCTCCTTAAACAGGGTTTGCTATTGAACCGAAATAAATCACATTCCTGTATTTCAGCCGAAAGTGCTTTAACGATTTATATAAGCAATAATCCCGATTGTCGGAGGTCTACTTATCTGGCATGAAGAGAAGAAATTCCTAACAGCCGGGAAGGGGCGCTGAGGGGAGGTGTCATGATTTAGGCCTCTCTGCTCTCTGGGGAAGGACACGCACATAGCACACTGGGGACACCCCGGCCCTAGAAGGGAGGTCAGCTCTCGACGCCTGCAGGGACCCTGTCACGTCGGATTCTGCTCAACACTAGGAACATCAGCATCTTTTGACATGAAGAAATAAATGCTATTCTGCCCCGAGCGATGTCAGCAGAAATCTTTTGGAGGCGTGAGCCTGCCGGCGCTGCCACATCGCAACACTTCCTGACGAGGATGCGCCGCACCCGGGCTGCTCCCGCCCGGGGAACCCACGGCTCGGGGCTAGAGCCCAGAGATACACCACTGAGCTGTTTGCTTTACAAAGCAGCACTTCTCTCCCTTTCCAGGACACACTAGCTGGGAACTTATCTTAAGCGACATTTCGGTGACCTCCCATAGCTGTTAATGAGCCCGGCATCTCCTGAGGCTGGGCAGCAGATTCAGACAGTAACTTGGAAGGGAGCTCCGCTTTGAGAGAGAATGTGAGCCCCAGAAGCCACAGAAGAATGCGTGTCCTGGGCAGTCAGACAATCCGAGCAGCTCTTTAAAGCTGCACCAGACACCGCTTTGAACAGAGCAAGTGTCCGGTTGGATACCTGCCTCTCAGATCCTGGGGACACGTCCTGCTGGTCCCACAGAAGCTCCAGGGGAGGTCGGGGTGAGGGGAGGAGGTTGCTCGGCATGCGGCGCATTGAATAGGGCAATAATGGTGCAAGCACACAGAGCGCAGCCACTCTGACTTAACTTCTGGCCACCTGTCCAACAACCCACGCGTTTGGGAGTGAAACACTCTCCCCTTTGATTAAGAGTACAAAAATCAAAACATGCTCCTGACTCCCCTGAATCAAACAAACCACCATGTAAATAGGAAGGACAGAACGCTATGTGCCACATCTGTAGTCAAGATTTTGCTCCTTGAATGCACTGCGTTGTGTTTCCACTGCTACAAAACTAACCAGAGCAGAAAGCTGCGGCCCGTGCTCCAGGTGCCATGGCTCGCAGCTTCCCGGCCAGACCCCGCCGGTCAGCAGCCTCCGGCTCGGAGCTCATCGCTCCAGCTCCGCGGAGAAATCGCCGCCCGCTGCGGTCGAGCTGAGCTGAGCCGTGCCGAGCCGTGCCGAAGAGGGCAGAGCTCGGCAGCCCTGAAAAGCTGGAGCAAGGCTGGGGAGGGGAAACTCGGCGCGCTCCATTAGCGCTCCAGTTCCTGACCTGCTCGGGTACGTACGGCAGTCGGGGCTAGCCGGGATTTCTGTAGATACAGTGTAAAACATTTCAGACCAAACAGCCTGAAAGAGAATTGACTTTGCTCTAGAGCCCGGCTGCCGCTCACCCTGTAAAGGAAGTGATTACAAACCGGGATTTCTCTCTGATTCAGAAGGACCTGGACACGCAGACCTCCTGGGTAATGGGCTGAAATCCACAGGGCTCCTCTATTGATGATTCCTAGGATTTCAGTCTCTTTTTCATTAAACGTTTGATGAACATAAAAAAGAAAAATTGCAAATTCTGTGTCATTTATGCCCTAATTTACCTAATGATATTGCTCCCCGGAGATACAGACAGCTCGCGTTTCATCAAGTGAAAGAGATTACGTCTTAAAAACTTGTTTCTGTGCTCTAAAAACAGCACTGAGCCCTACCCGGCGGGGACGGATGATCATCAATACATGAAGCTTCTGAGCAGAAACATTTCCAGCGCCCGCAGCCAGCCCTGGAGCCGAGCGTGCAGGCAGGCACAGTCACGGGCTACAGAGGGTGTGCTCTTACCTCTGCGAACTCACTCACGCTCTCTTCAGCGTGAGCCTGAGAAAAGTCCCAGGAGGGACTCGCCACAGAGTAGTGCTCAAAACCTACCTGTCCTCACTCCGTATTTCAGTGTGTCCCGACAATCCACCAGAATCTGCTCCAGGGACTCAGGGTTGTCCGACAGCTCCAGGTTGAAGCCCTCCATGCCCTCCAGGAGCTGGTGTGGGTGGTGGAAGTCCAGCACTTTGGTGGATCTGTCAAACGTCTTCCTCACGTAATTGAGGAGGATGTCCACAACCTCCAACAGGAACTGCATGGTCTGCTCCTCACCATTCTTGGAGGGCAGCAGATCTGTGGGGCAAACCAGCTGTCAACGCTTGCTTTGGGAGAGAGAAGCAGAGATGAACCAGCCTCGGCTGCCCGCAGCGCTCCAAGGACCTGGGAACTGCGGCCCCAGCGCTGCCTGGCTGCGGCCGGGCACACTCCCGGTCCCTGTCGCCCCGTGGGGAAGGGCGAGCCACGGCAGCCCCCGGCAGCCGCAGGGCCAAGGCGCCCCGGCCCAAACGCACGCCCCCAAAGCTAAGGCTGTGCCGTGCGAGGCACTCGCTTCCTGTGGGCAAAAAGGACCCAAAGTCTGCACCTGCCCTTACCTTGCGACGTCCCCACCTCCACCCCACAAAGAGATTGCTTTCCCTTTCCCAGCCTCCTTGCAATGGCCCCGTATCAGCAATCACAGGCTGCTTCATTACTATTTTACTAAGGAGGATAAAAACATAAAATTACTCTCCTCCTGGATTCTGGGTCTGGAGAAACCCCTGGAACCGCTGAAACTGAGCAGTAGATGATCAGACAAAGTACTTAAAACTGCATTTCAGGCAGTTTGCATACCTCTCTAGTGCAGCTCCCAAAAAACATAGACGGAGCTTCCTTCAAAAACAGCCAAGGAAAAGCACGGGCTGACCATGGCTGCACTTCAGGGGAGATGAGGGCAAGAGTACTAAGGGACATGCCTGAGCTGGAGCAAGGAGAAACTGTAAAGTGTTTACCTCTGGCATACAGATTGGAAAAGTCTGTCTCGGTGCGCCGGAACCTGGATCCTTTCTCACTGTTCTCGCATGCCAGCAAGCCCTTGGAGGACTGCCTTTCCTTCAGAGAACTGACGATCCGGCCCTTGTCTTCCAGGCTGTTGGTCCGTTGCAGGAACCCTACATTATTATCACAAGGTGCACAGGTCAGAGTTTTCTCACTTCCCAACATGTTTAGAAATATCGAAAGCAGCTCTCTAGACAACAGTTAAAAGCGGCGTTGGCTTAGATCTGACTAATGAGGTCAGGAATAAGGGTATTTATGGGGATTATTTGCCTCCAGGAGGGACAGTTCAAAATGCCATCAACTGCAAAAACGCAGCCATGCAAAAAACAAAATTTCGTCATTTAGTGCAGTGGTAAATTCTTATTAAGTCGATCAGACAGATTCCACTTCAGTAATCAGCCACTGGAAGAGAGTTCAGGATGAGTCAATGCTATTTCAGCCTGCAGGCGAAGTTTATGGACCTAGCAGACAGGGGCAATGATGTATGATTAAAATAAGGGCCATTTTCAGCTCTCCTCGTGGTGCTCTCACGCACAAAAGGCACGAGAACAAGCAGCCATTCTAGAGCAGCCGTCCTCAGAGTGCTAGAGCTCTGAGAATACCAGTAGTACCCGTAAAACCCCACCTTACTATTAGAAGTAAGTACTGATGCGGAATTTCCACCTGAAAAGATGCTTTGATGCTACCGGAAACACATCTTTGGAGCCCAGAACCCGAACACAGCTGCCGCTGTGATATGCCACGGCAATAAAAAACCCACTCACCCCAAGAATTATGGGGGTGGGAACCATGCGGAGTCCGTGACGAGTAATGAAATCTGTCTACTTTAGCAAGGCAGGGGGAACAATTAATTTTCTGGATTTGATCTATTAAATCTATGATGCCCACTAAAACAAGCATAGTGTCGGGCTTTTCGTCACTAAGGAAAACATCGGATTTTGACCTTTTCGTTTGCAGCGAGTGTGCCTGTATGTTTGGAAGAGGCACTACAGAGGCGCCAGTCTCGTTTTTTCTTTCTTTCAAAACAAGCGACAATCGAAACCAAGGCTCGTCGCGGCTGGGGATACCCTCCAGAAAAGAGGGCTTAGCAGGGAGGAAAAACAACGTCCTGAGTTCGCTCACAATCGTCCCCCGACGCCGCTTCTCTTCAGCGCCCTCCGCTTTCCGGCCATGTGTCCCTGCTCTCCGGAGCCGTGGGGGACCGAGACTGTGGGCACCTCCCATCGGGAGCCCGTACGGGACCCCTGCATCTTGGGCAGGCATAGGGGCTGAATCTCGGGGGAGAAAAGGGAGCGACAGGGAGCTGCTGGGCCAATTGCTCCCGACGTGGTACCTGTGCCTCGGACCCTGCTGCCAGCCAGCCAGTCACGAAAGAATTCTCGAAAACGGAGCACTCGGCTGGCAGGCCCTTCTGCATCAGTCGGGCACCCATACGAGTCTCCAGGAGGGTCGCTCACAGGTAAGTTTGTCGGAACAATACTTCCTGTGAACACCTCGTGTTTTGCGTCTTAATTCTGATCTTCTACTGATTAGTCTTTTTCTGTGATGCTTTTACGAATGAGACAAAGACTATTTAAGGGAAGCTCTCTTCGTGCATAAGTTAAGAGTTAGCCGCCCATATATATTTATGTTGTTACTGCTTCTAATAGCTCTTGCAGCGATCATTAGCTCCTGCAACAGCAAGTGCTATTTGCCCGCTCATTAGGAGGAGGAGCTAATACCGAAGCAGGTGCTGTCTAAACTGAACTATGGATCCTCTTTTACCAGGTCCTGGGACTTCATTTTGCTTTTTTTTTCCCTTCACCCATTATTTTTTTAGGTTCTCAGCAGCGATCTCAAGCGGGACGAGTTCCGTGAGAAAAGACGTCTGCGGGAAGAGCGGCGCTCCTCCTGCCTCGAGCGTTCCTCGCACAAGTGGCGCTCCCCTCGGCGTGCAGACACGCATTCCTCAGAGGCTGGGAAAGGAGGAAGCACCGCTTCAGTAACAAAGGCTGCAGTTGCCACCAGTTTAACTCTCACCGGGCCCAGCGAGGCTGCGGCTTCGCTGAAGGGTCTAACCGAACTAGACGCTGCGGGCAGGGAGCTCAGTCCTTGTCCGAGCGCCTCTGGCGCTGTTCTTCCCCGCCGAGGCTCCCCGGGGCCGCGGTGTCCCGCAGCCGGCAGCGGGGATCAGCTGCGGCTCGAAGCGGCTGCACACGGGGCCTGTCAGCCCG